TTTTGAGGAGGAATTTTCGTATGCCGATCAAACAGAATCGATTTCATTGCAAAGTAAGTGATTTTTTCTGCGATATTATTAAATCAAATTGAAAAATTTCTTAAATATTTTTTATCAGTTTATCATTTTCGCATTTTTGCTTATGCGGCACTAAGTTTGAATTTTTCAGATAACCGGAGCTTATCGGTATGCGATGCCACTGGGGTGCGTTTTTTATTGCTTTTTTATGCGTTTTTTGCAGCTATGCAATGCAGAAAATGCATATTCACGAGGGGTTGTCCGTGGATGTGTCTGTGTGTTCGTCTGTACCGATTTTTCATCTCGAGACCTACAAAAACTACGGGGCTGGAATTTTGGGAACTTAATCTACATGCATCTACGGGCCCCCATCCTCGATATGGGCGGTCTTACCCGCGTGGTACCCACGTACAGGCCCGCCAAAGTTTTTTACGGGCAAGCCGCTAACTCGGAAACCAGAGAAGCTGGAAAGCTGAAATTTAAAAAAAAAACGTTCTCCGTTCAAGGAGGTGTTAATGAGCTAAACCCAGGCACCAGGTATTCGTGTTACCCACGTACGGGCTCACGAAAGTTTTTTTCGGGTAAGTTGTTAGCTCGGGAACCTGAGAAGCTAGAAAGCTGAAATTTTAAGGGGGTGTTTCCTGATACTTCTGGCAGCCAGTCTTAATTTTTTTTGGTTCTTTTACGTGAATTCGGCTTGATCGTAGAAATTTATTTGTGTATTTCTTGATGATGAAAGTTGATAAAGTTTAGTTTGTAATGGTGAAAGTTTAATTATATAAAACATTCAACTGTGGCATTTCATCGATAAATTTTTTTTCCAGGATAGTAGGCCATATTATCTTAGCGGATTCCATTGGACAGCGATGTATGCGAGGGCCAGAGATTACAGGAAGGAGCTGTTCCATGTCTGCTGTCAACCAAACATTCGCACCTGGAGAACCGAGAAAGCCATGTAAGTTTTGGAAGCCATGAGAAATAGAAGTGGAGGGTAAAGACCAGTACGGCCAGTACAAGCCCTATAAGGAGACTATGAAGAGCCTGCCGGGGAGGACAGCGATCACCAGCAATAAAGTAGCAAATAAGTTCACAAAAAAAGCCACGTAAAGCCATGTAGAGGAAGCCATTTGTCAAAACAATTTGAATTTTTGTCAAAAATTTGTCAAAACTATTTGAATTTAAAAAAAAAAAACGGTCATTAGAAAGCCGAATCATAATTGGACGCTACAACTGAAGTGGGCCAAAGTGAGTTAAATTGATAAATGATCTGCGGTTCTTGTAGGTCAAACCGTAATTTCGGAAAAAAAAAGAAATATGTTGAAAAATATAGAGGAATATGTAGAAATTGGTCTTCTGTGTGCTTCATCCCCTAGCTTTAAACACAGACAATATAAAGTGCGATTTGGGGGTGGGAATCATCAGTACAGCCTCCTAATCACCATGTGGCCTCGCTGGCAATGCGACCAATATACTCACTCCAGTTATCCGGGTGGTATTGTTATTTTTGTATAATTTGGATAATGTTGATTCAAAAAGAAAAAAAAAACTGGTGCTGTACATGGGGACAACAACATGTAAATCATTAACATTTTTAGTGATTTATCGAATCCAGTGAAACTTGGCGAGGGAACATTTGGAGAAGTCTTCTTGGTCAAATTTGAAGCAAAAACCGTTGCCTTGAAGGTAGTAAAT